TTTGTGGTCTAGGATTCATAGATTTTGCAATGAATCTTTCTGGGTAACAATTCTCGATGAGGATTCTCTTGAGATTGTCCAGTTCATCTTCTATGGTGTCCGGGGTGCAAATTCCGCGAACTCTCGATTGTAGTTTACCACAGGTGTCAGAAGTAAGAAAGAAGACACTTCTCACAATCATTTAGCGTTTATGAATCCTTTGAATAATCCAGTAGCTGAACTGCACATTACTGTCGCTGTTGACAGTCATTTCAATTTGATCGAATGTCTTCATACGCCTTTAGTGGTAGATCATTCGGCTTTTACAGAAGTTTTGTAGTGACTTTAATAGCCCATGTGAAAGTACAATGAAAAATCGATGAAGTAAAATCATCTAGCCATCTCTGAGACATTTTTGATAGAGTCGAAGTTAGCATACTTCTTGAAATAACCGACCGTGTTGTTCTTTTTTCGTTGAATGAATAATTTCACGTATATAATTATTTCTTCCAATCATCTGGTACAGGTAGTCACAGATTTCTTCAAATCTGCATAGTGTCTGTTTGCTTCAGTTCACTATTAACCAGAATTGCTTATAAGTTATCTAAAAGCTGTTGTTGTGGCGTAAAATGTTATCAGTGAGAATAGCTTTCTAGCTAACATTATTATATAAGATACTACAGTTAATCCTGTTGACGAGTACCTAAAGGAAGGAAGAAAGTCCTATCATTGTGAGCGTAGAAATTCGTTTGATATAAAACACAGTGATATAGTATTAAGAACTGGATGACGTTTCGAGTGCAATCCGTTACTCCACAATCATATCTTAGTGTATGCACATAACTTCATAACTTTTTTTCCTTCACGTTCCCAGTTGAATATAGGGCCTCAAGCTAGTAGCTTGAAGTTTCTGTAGCAGAGTGGTTATCTTTTACAGGATGGGGTTGCTAGCCTCATGCCCAACCTTTCCTCTTTACCATCATTCTTTCTGGCTTAGCGAAGTAAAGGAGTGCATCGGCGGGGACCGAACTCCGGACCATGTGCATGGTCGGCGAGCGTCCTAACCACTGTGCTACCGACGCACTCGTGTTTCCGCCCATAACTTGCTTTATGTTATTCCTAATCCCTGATGCTTTTTGCTACAATTTTCCATATATCCGGTATAGGTGTTGCGTCATTTCTACAGTATATGCATATAGTGGATTCTATGAATAAGGATTCGGTGATTAATCACGGTCCCACTCACTCCACGTAAACATATTACTTATTAACAATTTCCACCCTGTCTCAGCCTATTGTTTCATTACGTCCAACAGAAGGCATTGCAGTGGCTGAGGTTGTTTTAAAGTTTACTCCCGGGTTCTGGCATGTGGATGAGCATTTCGTGCGTCGGTGCTATAGCGGTTAGGACGCTCGCCGACCATGCACATGGTCCGGGATTCGATCCCCTGCCGACTCACTCCTTTACATCGCTAAGCCAGAAATAATGTTGGTAAAAAGGAAAGGTTGGGCATGAGGATAGCAACCCCATTCTGTAAAATAAACATTGCTACAGAAACTTCAAGCCACTAGCTTGAAATCACCCTATGTTCCACTGGGAACGTGAAGGAAAAAAAAACTTAGCTTAGCAGGGTCAGTCATTCTAAGTTTCGCTACGTTTTTATCTTCTGGTTATCTGACTGCCCTGATCTACTGGTCTTGTAATGGTAGACTTGGTAAAGGAATGATTATTTGAGATTTGATATCGCTATATATAGCCAAGTTATGTACACTTTATCTTCAAAGCACCATTTGCACAGATCTTTCGTGTTTTTCTACTTCTGTCCTTCATATTGTGTTCCTTTCACGTGTTCCATGTTTCTCCGCAAGAATGTATCATTTGCTTTCTCTGACATCAAATTTATCTCCCTACTATTTGAGGTTTTTATGCTGATGAATATCTCTCTATATGCTACTGGTAAATTTTATCAGCGGCATACGCCACAGTTTGAACTCATAGTCATTACATGATGGTGTTCGGTTGATTTTTCTTAACTGGATCAATCGGTTGCTTAAGTCGATAAAGTTTATCTTCGAGAGAGTGTTGGTTGGTTTAAAATTCTATCTAATTAAGAAGCCCAGGCAGGGGCACACTGATATTCCCTACTTATATTGCAGTACTAATGAGGCTTTCAATTCCCTATTATTTATATCGCTACTTCTATTTTTCTTATGGCTCTTAATACATTTTTGAATATAATATTGGTGGGTTATTATTCACTAGTAACTTTTTTTGTTATTTCATTGAGCTATGACTCGAGCACAAATCACCTTAGAGACTCAGTCAGTAGTTCCACACCAGACTAAGGTGTACCCTGGTAAATCAGGCTAGCGCCTGTAAAGGTTGTGACGGTATTCTCGTGACTTTTGCTGCCAGATCTGCTGAGGGCGGTTGTGTGCAATAAGTAAATTGGTGGATGATGACTGGCAGTGGAGTCGATAATGGACATTTTGTCCTATTTATGACTCGTCAACTGGATACACGTGCATTCCCCAGTACACATCGTTGCAAAAGCCAAAGCGTTATCCACCAGACTACTTGGACTATGAGAACCATCTCTTGTGCAACGGGTGTCAGTTATTATCTATTTTTAATTCAATTTTGATGTTCACCTTGATTTATTGGGACAAAATATTCGGCCTCCATTGATATCTCAGCTTCTTATACGGATACTTCGACACTATGGGTCCTGGACCCGAGCCTAAGTGGGAACACCATTACTCACTGGGGAATACAGGTACATCAAAAGTGATGACTTCAAAATAGGACGAAATGCTCATCCTCGATTCCGCTACTAGTCACCATCCACCTATTTACTTCAGGTTAGATAATCAGATATCGTCTGTACAAGGAGCCAACATATCAACCTGAGAACGAGGACTTCGGTCTAATCAATCAACGAGAAAGTTCAAGCTGAATTAAATAAGGTTGAGGTGCAAGGTTCAAGGAGGTTAGTAAGCCATATGCATACGCCCCACCTTCGTCTTATTTTTATTCCACATCGTATTTTTTGGTACAGTTATGGAATTTTCAGCCTGTGATATCGGTAGCCCAAATTTTGCAGGCCGACCATAGATATCAGGTGTGCGTCGATAGGAGATCGAACCCCGGACCATGTGCATGGTCGTTGAGAGTCTTAACGACTGTGCCACCAATGCACATGTGATGGTTTTCTATAGGTCCTAGTATCTGAGCCACCATGCTGTTTCCTTTTTATTTTACAGTCTAGTATTGCTAACTTATCCTGTTCATTTTCTAACTCAAAGGTGAATTGGATTCTATTATGGGGAAAATTTATAAAGTCTCGCAGTGTTATACAGTAATATTTCTTGATGACTTTTCGTGTAACTTGATACAATTATGAGCAGCAATAAATTGTACTCGAAACGTCACCAATACATATTACTGTATAACGCTGTGAAACTTTATCTAAGTAAATTTTATCCCTAATGGAATTATACTCTACCACAATGCCCAAGTTCTACTCTTATATCAATGAATTGGATTCTATCAAGTATTGAAATTAAATATGCGAAGAACTTAGGGACACGTTCAGATTTCATCGCAGTAAATGTATCAACCATATATCATCACCATAACATAAGAGCAGGGTTAAACAATTCTAAGAACTTTAATTTCCTAACCATTCATAGATATATCTGATACTACTGGGGATATTGATGATCCTGTTGTCACGTCGATAAAAGTATAAAAATTGGGCACTGTGGTAGAGTATAACTCCATTAGGGATAAGATTTTATTTTGATAAATCACACAGTGTTATACAGTAATATTATGATATAATATGATTGTGATGTGATTATGAGCAATAGTTTGTGCTCGAAAGGTGGTCATCAGTTAATATTACTGTATAACACTGTGTGATTTATCAAAATACAATCTTATCTGTGGTCACGTCATTTGTCTGTTTGTATATTTTATTTTGAATACACTTGAGGTCAGACATAATTGAACACTTAATACTACTTTTTTCCAACTGAGATTTTAGTTCTATTCTAAGGATTAATGTCCAACGCATTCCAGAAATGGGTCAATCTGAACATTGGTGTACAAACTTGTTATTGTTGTCAAAAATTAATTCTACCAGAGGAATAAGAAACGCACACAACTTAGCAAAACACCGGTAAGAATGCACTATCAAATTACCCTTCGTTGTTAATCTGTTTCTTACTTCATTGAATCTGAGATTTTCCCGTCGATTGATTGGACAGAAGTGCTCGGTCTCAGATTGACATGTCGACTTTTTGTGCAGATGCTTCGACGATGTCTAGGGATTTAATTAGAGTCCTAAATACGACGAAATGCGCATCCTGGATTCCACTGCTACTCACCATCCACAAATTAAATTCTACTTAAATGCCCAGACATCGTCGAAGCATCTGCAATAAGAAGCCGACATGTCAACCTGAGACCGAGCACTTCGGTCCAATTAATCGATGAGAAAATCTCAAATTAAATTAAATTAGTATGACTCGTTGTACAAGAGGTGGCCCAAGTGGTCTAGTGGATAACGTTTTGGCGTTTGGAACTAAGGGCACTGGGTTCGAGTCTCGGTGGGAACATCATCACTCACTAGGAAATCCAGGTACACTCAGCTGACGAGTCCCGAATGGGACGAAATGCGCATCCTGGATTCCACTGCTAGCCACCATCCACAAATTAAATTCTGTTTCTTATCTGTTAAATATTCTATATTTAAATTTATTTATGGCATATTTCTGAATATATAAATGAAAGACAATTAATTTATTGCGTGTTAATGAAACTAGAGTAGTAAGTAACAAAGGTGATGAGTTATCACAAACTCTGGTTAAAAAGAAGTTATGTAATAATAATATGAATAGTTTGATGAGTGAGTTTTACTCAGGATACACATAGGAACAGAGTAGAGAATACGAAACTACGTAAGAGTTGTAAATGAATACAAGAATTATAAGCGATTAGACGAAAAAGCAAACAAACAAACAAAATTAAGTCATCAAAAATCAAAAAAGTTAATACCATAATAGTAGAAGTAGTTGAGTAATCTTCTTTTGCATGCACAGTTCTAGTTTTTCTGTGTGAATGACCAGAGCTTCAGTAATACAAAAGAAGACGGAACCGTATTACCTTTGTTAGGTTATTCTTGACTATGTAGATTACTTTGAAGGAAGCGTTTGTTGAGATGGAATGATTAGCGTCAATTATCGCACTCCTCCTTATAGCACCACTATTACCTTTTCACAACCATGCTGGACAGTATTCTTGAATCCTTTCGGACAGAATACGTGACAAACAACCGGTGTATCAGGAACTTACATATGCACATAGAAATGGCCAGATTTAGGATCTTGTGCTGAAGACTTCTGCACATCAGTAAGCGACTGGGGAGTACTATTCTTAGCCTTGCTGCAAAGAATATTTTTCTCAGAGATGATGTGATCCTTCTCTTGAGAATATCGCTTGCTGAATCCCCCTTGAAATCCAAGTTCAGGTAGAGTTTCTTTTTCAGTGTAACTAAAGTTCCATTTCTTCAAATTCTTGGTGGGTATCCATTTGGGATGAAGATTTCTTTCAAAAGATCTGCATTAAAGCCTTTGCATGTTCACAACTAGTGCATTGATGACCTACTCAGTTGTTTTGTATTCCAAATATCAGTTTCAGTATAAAACCTTACGCGAATAATATAGTCTCACTATAAGCAGTAATAACTCAGCCACAGTGTGAGCCAATACGACAGACAGATCAATTAGTAATAGGGTTCGAGCCCACGTCGCATTGGTTGGAAATCAACAGCCTAAAACAAATCAATGAGCCAAAACTCCATATATTTCTTATAATGCCCTTCTTAAATGGCTTAATTAAAATTATAAGCCACCATATTAATATATATATATATACTACATCTACCCCTCATGTTTCACATTGAAAATTGAAGAACACTCAGTATCCAGAATCAAATCAATTGATATCTGAGATAAACAAATCATTAACATTAATGAATTCATTATACACTTTTGCTAATTCTGAGCTATAGCAGAAACAAGAATTTACAAATTTACAGTTAATAAAACGCATAGCACAGCATATGATCATGGGCAAAGCAACATAAAAATGTTGAATCAGATGAAGGGAACAGGAATTCGGTGCAATCTTATGTGAGAAGCAAAATCAAAAAATAAAAACATGGAGACTGTTTACTCTGAATAAAGCACTGGATGACGTGTGTCTACAGCTTTTTGTTCATGTTATTAACAAAACAATAAGTATTGCGTCGTTTTAGACAGAGGCAGGGGGATCACTATTATTTTTATTACTATTACTATAATGATGAAAAGATGGACAAGGGGAATAGCTAAAATAGATTTCTTACTAAGTATAAATTACATGGCAAGTTGAAAGTCTATGAGAGATATTTCTTGGATGAATGCATGAAACACAAATACAAGGCAATAATTCATGAGCAGTAGTGTGTAACAAGTGATATATATATATTTATTTTGAAGGCACCACCGGAGGTGTTTCGGCGCAAGCACGGGTGTGTGTATGTGGGTAGGTCGGGGGGGTGGGTGGGGTGGGGAGAGGCGGTAGATGTTAGAATAAACACTCAACTTTCATCATCACCTCCAGCGTATTCTTCTAACAGGGCTGCTTGTTCATAATACTTCATTGCTATACGTCCTTGTAATGCCTCTGTAGCTCCTTCTGCTGCTGACTCATAAAGTTCGTCTACACAAAAATTCAACACAATATAAATGCAAAAATTATACTAATGTGACGAATAAACAGTAAACGAACCATTCATAGAACAACAGCTGTGAACCACACTTATTACATAATGGTTTAAGATAATACCTCCCAGTGTCTAGGCGTCCAGAGTGATTTAGGTGGAAAGGAGTTCGGATAGGAGACTTATTGATTAAAAGACGAGTGCCTAGGCTGATTGGTAGTATCTCCACTATACGTTTATGTAACACAATATAAGTAATATTCACTGTAATGTTATCTATTAGTATTCCTTTCTTTCTTTATTGTGAAACTATTGTTATATAACGCTGTGTTAATGATTTTTCGGTTGTTGTTTATTTTGACTAGACGACGCCTGCAGACACAACATTCTAACCAACTAATCACTTTAAAAATGTTCCCCCACACTGAGATAGACACAGACGTGGGAGTGAACTGAAAAAACCGCGACGACGACAACAACAACAACAACCTTTAATTATTTACAATACATATTGTTATACATCCGTGGAAATTTGAATCATAGATAATTAATCAATCTCTGACTGATTGTATGACCTTGAAGATCCTCCAAAAACAAATCAATCAAAAACTGCCCAATCAGATTATCATGTCAATGTATGGTATCAATCATGACTTTACGGCTACCTAAGATAGGTTTCCCGCCCTGGCAGCTATAAACACAATTTAAAATGTTTTTTAAGTATTGGTTTTTGTGGGGATTGGCGTTCGATTGATTGGAGGATTTAATCATGAGCTGACATTAGTTAAAGAACACCAGTGGAAAACCAACTGTGACTACTGGACAACTGTTTCGTCAGCCTATCTATATTGGGACTCTTCAGAACTACGCGCCCACCGGGGTTCAGAACCAGGACCTTCTGGTTACAAGGTGAGCTAGCTCGTAGACCATTCAGCCACTGGGACCGGATCTAACTGCCCATGAATTCTAACGTCTGCTAATTTATGACATAGCACGATCACTTTTCAGTGTCTTCTTCGATGAGTTACTGCCTCACCTTCAACCTGCTGTACTCTACTGGCCATGGCTTCCCAATAGAACTCCAGGTCACTGACTGAATAGGGTCAGTCGCTAGGGAGCCTCAGATTGGTTTTTGTCGGTATTTTTTTTATTGGTTGAAGGATTTCATCATCAATTTAAAGTGGCAATAAATTCAAGACTGTGTAAGGAGATGCCAGTATACATCCCTGCCAGTGTAGCCTGTGTTAGTATCTACGAAACCAGATATGCTCAAATGGTTGACGCAACTACTAACGGAATTTGTGCATAGAAAAGAAGCTTGTCTTGCTTTCATATCTCTACCCTGTTTTTTCTCTCCACACCTTTATAGTATCATTAGAATTAACGTTCTCCACTTTTAGCTCTATGTTTCTCCGAAGACTGGAAACTTGAGCTGATATACACTGGCCCTATTCAGGTAGGTAGTTACCTGGGTTCCAGTGGGAAGTCGTGACCAGTAGGGTGCAGCTGGTCGGGTGTGAGGATAAATACTCACCGAAGACATTGGCTAGCGGTCGCGCTATGTCGTGAATTGGCAGAAGTTAGGATTCATGGGCTGGTCATTGGATCGGGTCTCAGTGGCTTAATGGTATATACGAGCTCGCCTTGTAACCGGAAGGTCCTGGGTTCGAATCCCGGTGGGTGCGTACTGATGAACAGTCCCAAACTAGGACGAAACAGCTGTCCAGTACTCCCAGGTTTTCCAATGGTTCTCTAACTAGTGTCAGCTCATGATGAAATCCTGATACATTTCAGTCAGTGACAAAATGAAAGACTCAACACACATGACATGGTTTACTCTTTAGTATCATTCAATTAAAGTATGCATTATAGTCCAACAGAAGGTCAGTCGAAAGCCTAAACAGCTCAATGGTAACGCCTCTTTTGACTGCAGCACTAGGTGGCATGGATCCTATTCATAGAACAGGCATCAGTTCCTTCAAGGTTAGTAGCAAAAACCACGAGACTTAGATCCACAACTACCTCCAACCATCCAAGGAAATATGATTATTATCATTTCTGAAATTCAGCATTTACATTTTTTTTCTTGCGGATCACAAATTTCTGAAGAGTAAATTAATTGAAGCAGTATTTATGTAATTATTATGTGTATAGACTGAACACACACTTACATGCTTTCATTCTGTCTCTTTTCAAACCATGACCACCTTTAGCATACATTTCAGCGAGACGTCCTTGTAAGCGATAAATTGGCCATTCGGATAAGGAATGAAAACCAGCTCGATTATTTCTAACCACCAATGGTGGATAACCTTCATTGGATTCAGTTTCTTCATCACTTTCATCTGATGGAGTGTTGACAGTTTTCACTGCCATTTCATACCAATGTGCAGCAGCCAACCAATCAGGTTTCTTGTTTGTAACTTCTGGATTATATACATCTCCGTTATAATTAGCTTCAGCTAAGTAGATCATAGCCATACGATCTCCAGCTGAGGCAGCTGTACTAATTAAAGCTAAACCACGAGTATGAGAGTCAGATGGATCAGGCTAGTGTTTAGCATTGAAGTAAAAAAGAAAACACACGAGTAAGTTACCACAAGCACTATACATGAAATCGTTGCACATATAATAAGTAACATCACGAAAGAATCCGCCCCTAGACAAATCACAGTACCAAAGAAAAAACTGTTTATGAGTCTTGCATTCAAAGGTGACACCATTTCTGAATTGATTAAAATCGTTTTTCTAAATGTATTAAACTCACTTTTCCTGCAGCTGACTTGCAACTAGATTTTACCAACCGAAATATGATTAGACAATGTGTCAAGGATAGATTACCGCTTATGTTCACATCTATGTGTATTTACTCTTTTACCTGCCCTTGTGGAGCTGATTACATTGAACGTTGTAAGCGTAATCTCCGAAAACGTGTAGTGTAGCTGAACACTACGCGGTTTGGTTAATGAAAGGCGAGCGTAGAACTGCAAAGTCGTCTATTTGTGATCACCTGTTAGATAGAGTCTGGTCATTTAGCCCCAAGTGATTCATCTTTCAAAGTTATCTACATGGCAAAATCGAATCGATCCAAAAGTTTGCGTTTTCTTCACTTATGCATAGTTGAAGCTTTAGCTATACATGAACAGAAACTGAAATCATATGTTCAAAAACGTTTTGTCAAACCCCTTTCTTTACCTTGGTCATAATAATGTTCATTCTAGTTTTTATTTTATTTTACCACTTGAATTCATTCCACTTCACTTCACATCTTTATTCTTATCGTAATCGTACTCCTAATTTTTAAAATTTTTAGACAACGCTTGACATTTTTTTAAAAATATTTTTGGTATCAATTCACTTATAAAACAATCTTTAATAATTTTGTAATTCATCCACTTCAACTCTACCCCATATACACATGCAGCATACCCTTATATTACATTTTTAATTAGCGTTATTCTTATCACATGTATATATGTATATTGACTGAGCAATTATTTAGTGTCATTTAATAACCTTTTTCTGTAATATAAATACGAATGTACAGCTTGAAAATGAAGTCGTTGAAAAGGAATTTCTTCGCTGAACAAAAAAGAAACTGTGTTTTTACTTAGGAATAAATGGGTATTTTTCGTGATATAATAAATAGGTCAATACTTTAAAAGAAATTGTAGAGGACATTAAAGATCTTGTGCTAAAGTCTCCATTCTGCTAAAATAAGTTCTAATATGAAGAGATTGACTGAAGTATGTATGTATGCATGTGTGTGTGTGTGTGTGTAAGCAGCAGTATTCATTCGTAATATGGTTCATTGTTGGAAAAAGTAAAATCTTGGTGACTGCATTAGTCCTTAATCAATAGACAAGGTTGTGAAGTTACACCGATTGAGATGGGTTAGGATTTGTGTTGCGCATGCATTTATGGCCATCGCCTTCCTCGACAATGGGCAATGTTAGCTGACTGACATAGAGTTAGATTGGAAGAGAGACAGTGGTGGTCAAACCAAAACATGGCTTCATCAGTCAATGACATCCACGTATAGAGAGGTGTAGACTTCCTGGTTTGGGTCCTTGAGATGGTAAGAATCAATAACAAACAGCTGGAGACAAATGGCGATATGGCTCAAAGTGATCGTTATCAAAATAAGATGCAGATATGTTCAGTTGATGAACCACATATATAATGAGAATTGTGTGTTATTAACTCCATCGCTAACCACTATTTACCAAATAGTCTTCAGAATTGTTAACCATGCGTTAACATCAGCCTTCTATGGCATGCGCATATACCTCATTTCAATAAAAACCAGTGGTTTACTTCTAACAACTGTATTTACAAGATATGAGTGAGCTGTCCGGCTATTGATAAAAGGAATTCTGTACTGCACAGTGGTTCCGTTCATCCTTATTAATGGTTGTAGATCGTGGACATTTAAAGTGGAAGACGTGAAAAGGTTAGTTGGCAGCCCCTGATCACAGGTGACTGCGTTCTATCTTCCGTCTTAGGTAGTATAATGAGGTAAGTAATATTAAGGTAGGTCATCCAGTATTAGGTAAAAACGGAGCGCTACATCGACTAAGATGGTTAAGACATGTGTTGTGCATGCATGGCCTAACGATCGCCTTCCTCGACTGACAATGTTAGCTGACATAGGATGGATTAGGTTGGAAAAGAGCTAGTGGTGGCCAAACTGAAACCTGGGATTAGTCCATGGAATTTTTGACAGTCAATTTGAGCCACTTAGGGAGATGTAGGCTGCCTAGCTAGAATTTTCACGATTCAAGGAATCAATAACCGGGAACTATTGGTGATGTGGCTTAAAACTGTTCTGATTGATGGCTCAGATGCATTCACTCCTTGTGATGTCGGTTAAACCCCAATGTTTTTCTATGCTACAATTCCTTTTCCCAGGAATTTCTGAGTATTACAGCTTTTTTCGAATCGGTTGTTTCTCCTTTTTGTCCTCTTGTGTATGCTGCATGGAGTGTTTGACAACTTCAACTGTTCTATGTTGAAGCACAGTCACTGTGAGTCAGACAATGAAATCTTAGTTAGTGACGTCTATAAAGAACTAATTGCGGCGAGTTGTCATCTGAACTGATGACGACTAGTGGTGTCCGTCAAGGATGCCCATTATCCCCTTTCCTATTCAACTTCATCATAGATGTACTAATGGACTTAACCCTAAGTGACTTCAGCGACTCAGGGATTGACTTGCTACCAGAGAATAATCTCGTTGACTTAGAATATGCAGACGAAATAGTCCTCCTAGGCGACGACTCTGACAAAATGCAGAGTCTTCTTAACACCTTGAGCCGCAATCTACGAATGTTTGGCATGCGATTCGCTCCCGCCAAACGCAAGATGATGTTACAGGACTGGACCACACTGACTCCTAGATTAGAAATAGAGAGTGAAGTGGTAGAGCACGTTGTCCGCTTCGCTTACTTTAGAAGTACCATCAGTCACAACGGGTTGATCTCTGACGAAATCTCAGCACGAACACAGGGGGCTCGTTTCGCATTTGCCAGTTTACGCCGACTCTAGCGTAGACGAGATATTCGACTATCGACCAAAGGGCGGGTGTACTGCTCATCAGTCCGCTCCGTCCTTCTTCATGGCTGTGAGACCTGTTAGTTAGTTTAAACCAGCCACGTAGAAAGGTGTAGACTTCCAGGCTGGGGTCCTCGGGACGGTAAAAATCAATAGTTGGAAACAATTGGTGACATGGCTCAAAATCGTTCTCAGTGGCTGGTGCAGATGCATTCACTCCTTGTGACTTAGGATCTCCACCAATGAAACTGTTTTGTTCTTCGTTATTACTCACACTTTTGTTCACTGTCTCTATTATGCATTTCTTGTACTTTCTTCTCTTGCTTCGCGTGCTACACGGAGTGTGGCGACTTGAACTGGCGCACATTTGTGCAAAGTTCTATGTCGAAAACAGACAGAGACAGAATTGTGCACCAAATATCACAGATGAAAATGAACTCACTTTGATTGGACATTCAGATAATGGTCCATCAATCATCAGATTTAAGTAGTACTGTGATAAACATTGAATAGCATCCAGACAACCAAGTGTAGCAGCTTGTTCTTCATGAAATAAAACAGCCTCCCAATTAACATTTTCAGGTGGATGTAATTCATTCAGTTGACTACTGTCAATATCTTCAATATTTGTAGATAATTTATTCCCCTTTAAATTACTACCTTTCCGATGATAATAACCTGATTGATGCATTAAAGCTAGACGACCAGAGGCGTGTAGACGAGCCAATTCATGATGTATCTGAAGACAATACAGAATGTTATACGATACAATATAATAAGCGAATAATAAAGCATGCATCAGGGAGCTCTGTTAAACATATGTGAGATGATGATATTGAATAATAATAATTTGCTTTATTCCAAAACAGTACCCGTGATACAGAATGGAATTCTCAGTATTTCACTACGGTATTACATCCAGTTTGTACATTAACAATAAATAAAATTCTACATAGATTAAGGGGAATCTCAGTTAGTTTTGATAATAACATATTGGCATGTCGGTAGCAAAGCCAAAATTAAACAGTGTTTGAAGGTGTTACAAAAGTAGATGGTAGCATATTTACTGGTGTAAGCGGTAAAAGATCGAGATATACTGAGTGTGAGAGAACGAAGAGGAATGTTTTAATAGAGTTTGTAAGGAAGAGAGAAACAAAACAGCACATAACAAAAAAAAGGGAAAAGGAAAAGAAAGAAACAAAAACGTTGTACCTATAAAATGATATGCGTTGGAAAGACGAGATCCAGTTGTTCTACTGACTATTTAATAAGTTATAGGTATCACGCCTAATGCTCCCTTTATCGCACAGAACAAGTGCCAAGTAGGGTATGGTTGAGTTTTTGTACTTACTTGTGGAGCGTATAGTTTTCCATATACAGACTTCTGGTTTCTTCTGATGAGAAACAAGGGGGGAGAGTTGTGAATGAAGAGGGTGGTGTGAGTTAGATAAAATGGATTTAGCCCATTTTTTACATGAGTCCATGTGCCTGTCAACCAGAGTATTAACAAGCGGGTTAAGTGGCACGTTGATTACCCTGTCGACAACCTTTAACATCCTACGTAATAAGGTATAGTCTTTCTTCAGTAGCCAGCCCAGGAAAAACTAAGGGGGAACAATAGAGAATAATAGGCAGAATTGAACGCAGACTTGACAATATTCTTTAGACAAAGAATTAAGACCATTTAATGTTTGATTATTTTATAATTTCTAACGGTTTAATAAGAAATCTGATTAACACCCAGTAACACTGATCAATATTTTTTTTCATTTTTAATTCAAGCTAGTTGACTAATTCATTCAAACTCTGGTAAATTCATGTTGCGGCTTAATAAATAGTAAGTCATAATAGAACTATTATTATTATTATTATTATTATCACAGTGATCATGAGCGCACACTGACGACAAGTCCCAAACTATATTTGTAGTGTGGTGCAGACTGACAGGAAGAGGTCAAATTTGAAATCAACATTTCAAGTCAATGGTTGGAATTGTAGAAGTGTTTATTCCTCAAATCTACAAATGAAATACCCTGATTGGACGACTTGTCTAACCCTGGGCCAATTGCCAAACAATCAAAACAATTCATTCCCTTCCTCACCCAGTCGAACTTGAATGTGGATAAGAATGTATAAATATGATGCGGTTTTGCTAAATAAAGGGTACATTACCAAGTCTCTTATCTTCTACCGTTAAATGATGACGTACTAAGTTATTCAATGTTCCCTAGCATCTTAATGACTGAAGAGTGTGCGGAAATGTATGGTTCACTGGCCTGAGTACTCGGCTTTCAGTCAATGAGTCCCATGGTTTGAATCTCCCTCCACCAGTTACTTCAGTCTAGGCACCTGGGTGGCATTATTAAGCCTCACTGTTGCTTGTGCTTCATATCCTCGTACATGAAGGATCCCTTCCAAGCAGCTAAATAGTGAGTGACAAGTTAAAACTGTGTTGAAAATAAGGAATTAATTTTGCATATAATTAAAGCATGTGAACTCCCGCTGTTTATTCTCTTTAGTCAAAATAATATAACGTCATCAAGTCACAGATTGAAAACAAAATAGGAATGCGTTATTATTTACCATAACAAAAATAATAATTTCAAGTGACATCATGAACTGACATTAGTTAGAGAACACGTGAAAGTCAAAAAGAACGATACAGCTGCTTCATCCCGCTTGGGTCTCTCTTCAGCAGTGTGCAACTTTCACCCTATTGGTGATCGAACTCAGAATATTCGCCTTCTGATGTCAGTTAATGAATTTAACTTGAGATTATTCAACCTCCGCAAGTTAACACTTGAAAAACAATAAAACTTATTTATTCAGTATAGAATAATTACGTAGTAGTCTAAGAATTAGACTGGTTATGTGTGCACGGCATACATAACGTTCTCTAGTTGCCTACGAGAAATTTTATGTGGGTATATTTCAATTTTAGTATTCACTGCAAAAGTGAAAAATTTAAAAGGAAACAAAGGTGCCTGCTGATTAGAGGAAAAATTACCTTGTAAAACTACGCCTTTACCGAAACTGGCACGGAATCATGGTGTTGTCCACCCCAAGTAAAATATAAAGTCACATCGTCCTGGAGAGACTAAAACACGCACTAAATGCAGAACTCCGACCGGAACAAGCTGGATACAGGGAAACCAAATCATGTGCGGATCATATGGCCACCCTACACATCCCTATTATCATCGAACACAGCATCAAACGGTAATCAAATCTCTACCCAAAATCATCGACTTTGAAGAAGCGTTGGTCGCAAAGTAATGTGGAAACTAATTCAACACTACGGACTGCAGTGCCCCAAATCTTTATCAACCTCATTCAACAGCTATGTGACAATGCCACATGTCAGGTGATCCGCAACAGAAAATTCAGATAAGCCTATGAAGTGAAGACAGGAATAAGACAAGGATGTCTAATATCAAAGACGATATTCCTAGTTTCGGTGGACTGGATCATGCTTAGGACCGTGGGGGAAAATAAGACAGGAATATGTTGGACCAACAAGAAGACACTAGGGTATGCGGATTTCGTGGACGACTTGTGTCTAATGTCACACAAACTCGAAGAATTACAGGTGAAAACCAACAAGTTGGTGTAAGAGGCAGGCAGAAAAGACAAAACATCAAGCCGGTATAGAGAAGTGGAGGGTGATGAATACAACCAACCAACAATAGCAACAACAACAACAAACACCAATCACTATAAAAGGAATAAATTTGAAAGAGGTCACCTCCTTCACTCATCTAGGTACTACAATCCTCTCACAACTACAGGCACACACCACGAATAACGAAGTCAAAACCAGACAGGATCCGAGAGACAAGACAGACCTTCATCATCACTTTGAAATCAATTTGGAGATAGTCTGCACTCCAACGCAACATAAACCAGCAACAATCGGACTTTCAGAACCATTGTCAAATTAGTCAGTTTTTCTATATGGGTCAGAAACTCGGCGGGCGCGTCACGAAGAGCATTTCCAACAGCTGCCTCTTTCACTACATATTGAAGATCAGAATGAGGAGGAGATGGGAGCTTATGGGCTGTCGTGGGACCAACTGAAGAAGACTGGAGAGGACAGGACAAAATGGAGATGTGTTGTGGAAGCCCTATGCTTCACTGCAGAGTTCTTAAGTTTGTCTTAACCACCGCCGAGGCAGTCATATGATTGGTTTGTAAACGTTTCATTGCACACTGGTAACCACAGTGATGTATTTTCTTCGAGTTTTCAGGACGACTCACCACGAGAGGTTGGAAAGATTTTTAGAAAGGTGAGGTCGTAAATAATACGATTTGAAGACATTAGAGATTGATTAGAGCACAATTATAGGAGCGAATCAGAGCAATATGTGGCTTGATGGAAGATGGCAATTTCTGGTAGACAAAGATCCACGCAGGCTACCCTTCAACACATATATATATATATGTATCACATGAAAAATATAAGGATTCTTTAACGTATAACAACTTAAAACAATGAAGGTAAAAAGCAGATCATAGTGATAAACAAAAATAATCACAAGCACATTACATCTTGTCATCTTCTTGCTGTAAACATACGTGAACAGCCGTACATTCATCATTGTGGTTAAACAACTCACAGTATACAATATGTATTTAGACTTAAGACTTTCTTAACTCTATTCTAATAAATTCTATGAATTCAGAGAAGCAAGAAATAACAAAAGAAACACACCAGAAAGCGTGATTCATTTATGCGAAACAATTTAATATCACTATCCACATGTAACAGAAATAAAATCAATGATTCAAATGGAATAAGTGTTAACAGAGGTAAACGAATGGCAGATAAACAAAACGGGTTAAAGTATAATTTCATGCGAAGTTAACTAACACAAGTCACCACCTAAGGGAAATGGGTATAAATGAATGAACCTGACAAAAGGTAAGGAGTGAGGAGAGATAAATATCCATTTATCAAGTGTTGGTTTGCAAAAGGGGATTTGATTGGTTACAAGTTTAATCACCACCAGTTGATATCGGTCAGAGAACCACTGGAAAATCTGGGAGTACTGGACAGCCATTTCGTCCTAGTATGGAACTCTCCAGCAGCAGCAGCAGCAGCAGTGACTCGCCGAGATTTCAACCCAAGACCTTCTGGTTACAAGACAAGCTCACAGGTCATTCGGCCAGTCAATGGTGAGCATCAGATTAAATATCAATTGTTGGCCTGCATAGATTTGATTGGCTGGCCTTGTAACCGGAAGGTCCTGACTTCGAACCCCTGTGGTGGATGCATACCACCGACAATTCAGAGACTAGGACGAAACAGCTGTCCAGAATTCACAGGTTTCCCAATGGCTCTCTCACTGATATCTATTTATCTACAAATCAACCTCCACTAAAACAAATCTCATCGATAAAAACGATAAGGATTGACGTAGACGTATGCAGAGAATATTTTCGTTTTTCAAATGGAAACAATATGGAATGGATACATACGCAACTCTATATCAATGTGATAATACGACTGTCAAAACAAAATTTTATACAGTTAGTAAATCTCAAGCGTTAGTCAGTCAGAAGTAATTCAAAACCAAGGAGTACTGGAGAACTAATTCGTCCATAGATGTGGGGCGCATTATGACAAGATCACAGATAGAACACAAGAAATGCCGATTACAAGTCGAGTAAGTTACTGTTCACTCACTGGGTTGGAATCCAGTGGTATAAAAACTTTAGTTTCTGTCAAATTCGCAATAT